TTATCAAGCTTAGTAAAGGTTTCATACATAAGTTAGTAAACGTATGCAATTTTAAAGCAAAAGTAACACCATTTAGCTAGATAAATTCTTTTTCGAATATTTATTTGAGTTTCCTTGATCGTAGAGCAAATTATTTACACATAGGTACCAGTATTTACAGTATATATTTTTAGCTACATTTATAAATTCTATGTATAGGTAAGTATTAAAATTTTATGAATTTTAACACTATCTGTACCATTTTAAACTCCCACGGATGTTTACACCTGCTTCAGTGTAATACACGTCAATAGTTTTAAATGGGTGTGTTGGTTTTAAGCATTTCATTACACTATTTATTCTATTCGATTTACGTACTTCTATGTGGGTCATTGAGTTATTTTTATTCGAGGCTAACTATTTTTACATAACTAATTTGAAAAGAAACTTACAAACTTTTTTTCAGAAGTGTATATCTTTTTTTGTTGAAGTTACTTACTGCACAAAATGATTCATTAATGCTTTTAATAAAAAAAAATCTAGAAAATGGTAAAAATATAATAAGTCCATTTTTTCAAAATGTTCATGTAATTAAGCATAACTAATAATAATATTATGAAGTTAATTTTTTTTAACAATAAACACATAAAACCTAAAAATATATATTTTTTGAGATACAAATTATTGCAAGAGCAAAAAACTTAGCCGTCTCGTTACAACGTCACGCAGAGCGTCTAGGCTAGATCCCAGACGTTAGACAAAACCTGCTTGGCGGGCGTCTCGGTCTAGACCGACTAACGTTTGTACCTAGAAGTACCAGGGCGGCATAAGTACCAGGAGGTGCCTTAGTGCTCAAACCTAGTACTGCTACTACTATATATTCTGTGATAGTACTCAACTGGACACACACAAGCACGCTTTGTAGACGACGCAGCCTAATTATTCATTGGCGCGGACCGAACGTTCATAAATACATTTTAATGAATAAGTAATGGAGTTTTTGAGTATTGACTGGGAGTCCAGGTTCATCTAAAGGTTTATTTTTAAATAATATTTAATATTAAAACGAAAAACCGGGCAAGTGCGACAGTCACGTTTCTCACGATTAAACAATAACTATAATAATATATCTGTTATAGTAGAGATTATATTATTATTATAAGAATTGGAAAGGAATAAATGTAAATATTTATTTAAGTTACTACCTACTTAATGAAAAATTTATTAATGAAAAGTAAAATTAATTTGTTTTGAGTTTCTGAAGATATTTCAGGTCTTTGAATAACGTAACGAACGAATGAAAGAACCACACATTACTTATTATAACCTGACATAAAGAAGAGTAAAAACATTGTATTCGGTCAAAATTCTACCGCCCATAGCATAGATTAGCTAGACCTACAATCTAGTTTAGAAATATTTGAATTTAAATCTATTTTCTTATCCTTTAATTTAAATAATGTCAGCCACATTTTTAACATGGTTGCAATCCCATTGTTCCCGGCTCCCACGGCTGTAACTCCGCAATTAACATCTGTTCCCTGACCGTTACCGTTTAACTAAATCTCTGACCGTTGGTTAACGTTAATTTGTTCATTGTTCTTATGCAGTCGCAATAAAGGTCACAGTCGGACGGCGAGAGTTTTGCGAGGGACGCGAAAGCATTTTATCGATAATGCAATCATTATTTGGGTAAAACATTGACCTACCTTGTATTCTTCCCTTACATTTTCCCATGTAAAATAATGTCAGTAACCTTCTCATTAACTGTCTCATAACTAAGTGTTCGGTTAGCGAAAGTGCCCGGAAAGCTGTAGTCCGCGAGGAATGGCGCCGTATTGCGAGGAACATCACTCATCGTGATTCACAATGATGACCACGACCACTCTGACAAAAGTGTACCGACTGAGAAGAAGAACCTTCTCATATAAGTAAAGATGTCAGTGATCCATAAAATTATCTCCCTATTCACTAATTTAGCTATTGATTAACGCAACTAATATAAGCGAATGTTACTACTCTCAAACCCAACAACGACAAAAACTTACTTGAGGGTTAATTCGGTCTATGAAACTACATTCTAAGAACCTAGTGGTCAAGAAATAGTTATTAATATTTCAAAATCTATTTGGTCTAAGGATTCTGCTAGAAACTACCTGAGTTTGAACGTATTGAGCCTCATTTAGATAACGGGCCTTAAAATATAAGAAACTCGACGAAAACTATCTCTAAAAAATACTAACATCACTAGCCTTTAAAGAGACATTTTGTTTGGTTTACGAAACACGGTAATTTGGTTAAAGGCGCGCACGCGCATTGTTTAGCGCTACAGCCGCGGCGAAATGCGCTGCCTCGACTCGTAAAACCTAGGAGTTAATAGAATTTTAGCTAAACGGGGTTTCATGCGGCTCAGTTTTGACTAAAATTACCAGCTGTTTTCCCACTTGCGCAACTTGAGGCATGACCCTAACTCTATATTCAAATAGGTTACTCTACAATCTTATTTAAGTTAGAGTAGGCGCACACCGTTGATTTTTCGTCGACCGATAGTTTAGTCGGGCAGTTGATCAGTATGGGCATGTATGGGAGTGCGCACTCTACGCCGATTCGATTAGGACGATTCTTCATACAATTTAAAATCGGGCACAACTATCGGCCAACTAAAAATGCGTCGCACAATGGCCACGGTGTGCGCCTACTCTTAAGGAATACTCGTGATTTACCATAGATTTCATAACACTCTATCTAGGCGCTCATAAGAAAACAACCAATAAGGACAAAAACCATAATACAGATTAGCTTCTATTTTTGTATGTAAGCACTTAACTTTCCCGCCTCCTAACTCAATCCCAAACTATCAAAGAATTACCGAACGGGACCACGCAAAAACAAGCCCGCTCGAAATTGAAAGCGAAATTTCAAAGAATCGCGTGCGCAACATCCTAACGCTACCGTTTGCAAAAACCACTCGGCGCACGCACCGAATACAAAACCTTAACCGCCCAAAATTAACTTTCATTTTCTATCGGCGACACGGGGAAAGGCTTTCAGCTTTATCTAAATCTTCTAACCGTTTAATTATGCGTGGTTCTTGCCTCAAAACCGGGAATGAATTTATGCATGAAGCGAGAGAATTTCTACTCTGGAATCGGCAGACGACGCTGGATAAAAGGAACAATAGTCTTAGTTTTAATCTCGCCTTCTTTTATTATTGTTTTTTTGTGTCTCGAGGATCCAGTTCGTGGAGGCTCACGGTGCCCGCGCCCCCCGCCCTTTCTCTCGCCGCTGACATGACAAGCGCACCAATTTGCGTGAGATTTCGATCGCTGCGTAAGCGCAAGGAGTCTGCAGGGCTCGATTCTCGGACCATTCGGAGCATCCAAGGACATGTACTTAAAAATTTGCTTGGGGAAATGTGGGGGTTTATTTTTAAATGGGACTTATTATTTTAAGAGTTGAGCGGGCACGCTTCCCTCCAAAAAATACCGTAATTAGAGATGGTATTGTTTTTAGCTCTTGTTGTTCGTCTTCCAGTCAGTTTCAAATTACCAACTTATTTTTAATTTTACACAGAATTTTCCCTTATAACTTAAGTTGAAGGGGAGTCCTTTTTATTTTAATCACACCCAAAAAGCAGAAGCGCCGATTCCTTGCCTTATAGACTTGGTGCTGCATAAATTCGGGAACACTTGGGTTGTGAAATTATTCCATATTTAGCGACTTAACCTTTAGCCAAACTACCTGCTTACACAGAGTTTTACAGTAACACCATAAATATTAATATACATATGTTTTGGTATTTAAATAGCCGGGTAATTGCCCAAATTGCCGGGCAGGGTGGAGTGGTCGACTGGCCGTATTGCGGTGGTACTGCGGGTTCGATGACACCTCGTTAGGAGCGATGCACGTACACGAAATTATAGAGCCCGAAATATTTTATTGTTATTGCATTATTATTTATTTTATTAACCTTTTTAATACTTATAATATTTTTATTTTACCTGAAGTCATTTATTTTATTATTAATGTATTTTTTATAAGCGTAAACTTTTTATTAAAGCGCTATGATTGCTTAAATATTTTCAACCAATCTTTCTTAATTTCACTTGACTCTACCAAAATTACCTAACTTTTGGGTATGTAAGTAAGTATATTTAACGTCTATTGAGGATATCAAATATTTATTCAATACTACCAACTATTCAAATACAAACCAAAGCTCTACCCATAATTTTAACAGAAATTTATTTGAAAGCTCCACATATTTTCATGGATTATTATTTGTATGGAGTATTGGCACTAGGGCAGTCATAAATACCTACATAACTTTTATTTCAATCCTTCGTCTTAGTGGAAAACTCAAAAAAACTGCGTACTGGGTATGACAATTTTAAAACCCTTTAAATTGATTAACTAAAGTTAATTCTTAAATTAATAAAACTGTATAAGTACATACTCTCTTTTGTCATTTTGTTCTGTATAAATTAACATGCTGAGATAAAATTGCAAGATATTTTTAGTTAAAATTAGGAAGGAAGAGAACAATTTTAAATACGCCTAGTCGTAAAAAGCTTGCAATCTTATAGCTTCGTGAAACATTGTAAGCTTTAAACTAGAGCGTGCGGTTCACGACTCCTTTATTACCGATATTTACTTGCCGTAGTGTTAAATATTGTGGAAATAATAATGAATTATTTTTCTAAAATAAATTATTTTGATAATAAGTTAAAGATTCATATTGTATTAAATTCATATTATAGCGTAATGTTAATTGAATCTTCCTGTAAGAATATTTCTTCAACAACTGCAAATATTTTTCAATAATTTTAAAAATACATTTAAGAACAAGTTTTAAAAAAAATAATTAAGTTACGTTCAAAAGGCTCTATAAAAAGTTAGGTAGAGTATTTAGTTCCTACTGTCGTTGACAATTTTTTCACTAAAAAAAATGTTTTTACTGCTTTCAGTTTCAGTACAGTATTTTTCTTGCCGAAAGAACTATAACATTAAAAACCACTTACCTTAAACTACTATGCCCCATCTCTACTAATGCAGCATGCCCGATAACAGCACCTAGTCCTCAAAAAAAGAAAGCACAGAACTGGCACCACAGAAAGAGTCAGGCACAAGAAAGAAAAAAAATGAATTTGAAAATATTAAAGTTCTATTTTTGAATTTCCCGCGCGAACGGTCGCGATTGGCGAGTGCTCAGTGGCAGCCGCGCCGAAGACGAGTGCGGACTGTGCGTCCACGCAGCCTCCGGCGCTGGCGCACGCGCCGCACCCCGCCCCACCACTCGGTCATTCATGAAAACCGCCACTTGTGAACTTAAAGCTTCGCGATGGGTACCGTATTATTAGTTTACAACCTCTTGACAGTTGTGAAATCAGTTTTTTTAGTTTTATCACTGAAACTGACTCTACCAACTTCCGTTTATAACTCTAAGTTAGGTATTTTATTATTTTTATTACACGAAAATGTAGAGCCCAAAATTTTATTGTTATTGAATTTTTTAACGGCTTAAAGACACGCTTTATTATATTCGACTATTTTAAATCAATCAAGTCAACTTGAATTTACCAGAACTTTACTTTACTTCTTTCAGTATTTACTTAATAAATTAATTTCTAATGGGTATATGCCTGAAAACAAATCTCTACCAATTTTTACCTATTCTCTTTTCTCGTTATCATGGAAATCTGAATTTACAAGAACATAATAATAAGACTACGAATATACAGATTTCTGAAATTTTTGAGAAAATTTGTCTAGAAACACTTCCCAAAAATACTGTATCCGCGCCAAAAGACTGACTGATGTGGAGACTAAGTATCCTGATGATGAGTACAAATTACTGCAAATATAATAATATATCGGACTCTGTGCCTATATCCTACTAGTACTACGGCACTAAGATTGCTGAGGTAGAGACTAGTGAGTTGATGAAAACACACCTACATACCCCAGAAGCAACCGTGCAGCTTTATGAGGGTCCGGCCCCCACGATAAAGCCAATACATACCTATTATTCAGGCTCTTTGCCTATTTCCTACTACACTATGGTACTTCCGGAGGCGCTCCTGGGGCCTAGAACCGGCAACAAGCTACAATTTTGGCAACATTTCGCAACCGTTATCTAGGATAGGTTGAGGAAGCGATGTTGCGCAACACGCGTGGGCCTATCACATCCCGTACGCGAGGGACAATGATGTTACTACTATTATTAACGCCCTTTTAGAGCAACTTAAGTTAACAAATGGTATGTAATTAGTAAATGTACCCGCGACTTTATCGCGTGAAAAACCCTCGTCACCTGAGGGTATGAAAAATTGTCATATTCTCAGACTACTGAAAAGACACAAAATTTCATAAAAATCGGGCAAGCCGTTTCGGAGCAGTTTTTTTACAAACACCTAGCTCTACTAATGATACTAAGTTGTATGCAATCTTTTCTGATGATAATTATGTCGAGTACGTAGGTACATAATATGAGTTCAGTAGTCCTGCCAAGGGTATTTGAAAGAAAGAAAGATTTTATTTATTTATTTGTAGATCCTGGTGAAATAGAGATGTTACAGAGGAAAATGGGAATTGAATAGTCCCTTTTTATTCATGTATTTATTCCAAAAAGCAATCTCATCATCAAAGTTTTCTGTGATACCTACCATAGTATAATAATGATGGTGATACTTGCGTAGGCAGGCTAACAACTTTGTATTTTTTAAATTTTATTAGTGCCTATTTTTTATAACATTCGAAACATTGTGCAATATTGGTATTTCCTCTATTTTACAGGATATGCTATAAATGAGTCAGATGATGCTAGGTATTATTGAAAGAACTTTAAGCACTGAGTGCACCAAAGTTGATTCGCCGGGATCTTAGCAAACTGGGAATAAATACACAAAATGTTTTCTAGAATGTCCATCCAAGAAATGAACTCGAAAACTCTGAAATTGAGAAACACAAATCTCTAACCACAGAGAACATAATCCAAAAATACACAAATAAAACTAAATAGTACCTCCACATCAAATACAACCATAGATCTATGACGTCCCTTCTCTGAAAAAGATAGCAGACGTTGTCAAACTCCTGAAATGTCAGTCACCATCNGGATCGCTGGCCGACATCTTGTGCTGTGCGCCTTGCAACGCCGGTAAAAAGGTGGAGTGTAGTAGCGCCGGTTTAGGCAACTACTACTTAGAGACGTCGCTCAATAGCTTGTCGATATCGACAGGTAATTCGTCAGAGAGAAACTAGTATCGACAGCGTAACGACTATTAATATTATTGCAAGATCAATAGTATTACTATTTACTACCTTTTGTAGCGTCAATGCAATCGATAAGCGTGCCGATATCCCAATTTTCGAGGTCAACTACGTCTCTTGTACTCAATTAAAAGTATATTTGCTTAGCTTACCTTATTCTTAATCTGTTTGGGCGTGTCGTTCAAGAATATCGACGCGTTGGGGTCGCTTGCCGACATCTTGTGCTGTGCGCCTTGCAACGCCGGTAAAAAGGTGGAGTGTAGTAGCGCCGGTTTGGGCAGCTTGAGACGCGGCGCGACATCGCGCGTCATACGGAAGTACGGGTCTTGGTCGATGGCGCATGGGATGAGGCAGGGGAACTGAGAAATAAGGATAAATCTATAAGAAATAGAAGTGAAAATATACACACAGCAAAATAATTGTTTGTCTTCCAAATTAATAAAATTAATTGTAAGAGTGAATTCGACATTTTGTGTGAAGCATTTTGTATCTACATATTTATAAATTCATACTTGAATTATACACCTGGTAAATTGCCAACATAGCATTATACATAAATCTAACTGAGGCATCTTATGAAAAAATTACCAATCCTGAGAAGAGACGATCTCATTCTACAAATTGAAAAGATGGATTGAAACAGTATTATGTACAACTCTGCTTTCTTTTATTACTTCATTTACTACATCTAGTTATTATAAGCTTACCACTTTATTCCCGAATATAAAAGGGAAGGTAGTGGAGAACGCAGGTGCAGCCTCTATTGACGGGAAGGTGATCTTGCCAATGACGTCACTCTCTCCAAAGCCGAAGATACCCTTCGCCTGGTTGAAGGTCACGCACTTCTGGATGCGGACCATGTTTTGGTAGAACGCTGGACATTTACTGTAAAATTACGAAGTTTTTGGATGAACTCTGTCACCGCGAGTGAAGTCGGTACAACGCCATCTGTTGACGCTCGAGCCTAACTAGCTGCATAACTGGAATTTCAACAGATGGCGTGGTACCGAGTTGACTCGCGGTTGCTGAGTTTCTCCATAAACAATAGACACGTTAATATTTATTTAATTTTAATAATTAATTTAGTCTTCTATAAATAATCAGTAGATTGCGAAAAGTGAAAGAAATGTTAGTAAAATAAGTCTTTCTTACCCAATAAAGTCTAGATCGTTAAAAATAAATGTATTTTTCAGGTCAAATCCGACTGCAATGATGTCTTTCGCATTGTTGTACGCCATCTGGCGGGCGTCTTCTATCTTGATGTCTTTCCACATCGCCTTCTCATCATCCGTGAGTTGGATGATGAGTGGCACTTCGAAAACTTCTTGCAGCCATCTGGGAATAAATTAAAATATACAAATGACAACACACAATATTTTGTTGCTAAATCCCTTATCACATCTCAATAATAAACTTTTTTAACATAGGGCCCTGCACTAAATCTGAAATCACACTATGAACAGAATTTTGTAATGGAAAAAATTACTACCTCATGTGAGACATTCAAAAATCAACATGACAACACAGGGTGGATAAAAATCACGATTTTTTTATTTTAATCAAAAAAATCAGATTTTTAAAAAAAAAACACGATTTTTTGATTAATTTGATTTTTTTTTATTTTTACTAGGTTCTGCGATCATTTCTTTAGTTTTTCTTACGGAATACATTTTTATTTACGTAGAATTGATTTATGGAGCAGGCAACACCGCCAAAAAAAATTAATTATGTGGTTATCTGAAAAATCGCAAATGTGATTGTATGGAAAAATTAAATTTTTCAGATTCTCCATACAAAACGACAATTTCATACATTAACACCTAATATTAACAGAAGCTCAAAGTTGCACAGCGTGCTATGGAGAGGGNAGGCTATACATTTAAGAACAAGTTTAAAAAAATAATTAATTTACGTTCAAAGGGCTCTTTAAAAAGTTAGGTAGAGTATTTAGTTCCTAATGTCGTTGACAATTTTTTCACAAAAAAAAATGTTTTTACTGCTTTCAGTTTCAGTACAGTATTTTTCTTGCCGAAAGAACTATAACATTAAAAACCACTTACCTTAAACTACTATGCCCCATCTCTACTAATGCAGCATGCCCGATAACAGCACCTAGTCCTCAAAAAAAGAAAGCACAGAACTGGCACCACAGAAAGAGTCAGGCACAAGAAAGTTAAAAAATGAATTTGAAAATATTAAAGTTCTATTTTTGAATTTCCCGCGCGAACGGTCGCGATTGGCGAGTGCTCAGTGGCAGCCGCGCCGAAGACGAGTGCGGACTGTGCGCTCACGCAGCCTCCGGCGCTGGCGCACGCGCCGCACCCCGCCCCACCACTCGGTCATTCATGAAAACCGCCACTTGTAAACTTAAAGCTTCGCGATGGGTACTGTATTATTAGTTTACAACCTCTTGACAGTTGTGAAATCAGTTTTTTTAGTTTTATCCCTGAAACTGATTCTACCAACTTCCGTTTATAACCCTAAGTTAGGTATTTTATTATTTTTATTACACGAAAATGTAGAGCCCAAAATTTTATTGTTATTGAATTTTTTAACGGCTTGAAGACACGCTTTATTATATTCGACTATTTTAAATCAATCAAGTCAACTTGAATTTACCAAAACTTTACGTTACTTCTTACAGTATTTATTTATAAATTAATTTCTAATGGGTAGGCATATGCCTGAAACCAAATCTCTACCTATTTTTACGTATTCTCTTTTCTCGTTATCATGGAAATCTGAATTTACAAGAACATAATAATAAGACTACGAATATACAGATTTCTGAAATTTTTGAGAAAAATTGTCTAGAAATACTTCCCAAAAATGCTGTATCCGCGCCAAAAGACTGACTGATGTGGAGACTAAATAACCTGATGAGGAGTACAAATTACTGCAAATATTCGGACTCTGTGCCTATATCCTACTAGTGCTACGGCACTAAGTTTATTGAGATAGAGACCATATGCCCACCCTAGAATAGTTTGGTGTCCCACCCCAGAAAATCTTAGAATTAAAAAATCTACATACTAAGATACTAAATCACATCCAACCGTGCTGCTTTATGAGGGTCCGGCCCCCATGATAAAGCCCTAGGTACACCAATACCTACTCATTATTCAGGCTCTTTGCCTATGTCCTACTACACTATGGTACTTCCGGAGGCGCCCCTGGGGCCTAGAACCGGCAGTAAGCCACAATTTTGGCAACATTTCGCAACCGTTATCTAGGATAGGTTGAGGAAGCGATGTTGCGCAACACGCGTGGGCCTATCACATCCCGTACGCGAGGGACAATGATGTTACTACTATTATTAACGCCCTTTTAGAGCAACTTAAGTTAACAAATGGTATGTAATTAGTAGCTGTGCCCACCACTTCGTACGTGTGGAAAACCCTTGTCACCTAGGGGTATGAAAAATTGTTCAATCCTATCTCAGACCTACTGAATGTACACACAAAAATAAGAATTGATCAATTATGTTTCACTATAATTATTATCGTCAAAGTTTCGAAATAAAGAATTAAGTAATCCCTATTTTTTGGATGACACTAGGTAGCTCTACATATTATATAATGATTCTAGGTTTTTCGAAGTCTTTTCTGATATTGAGTATATAGTATGTTCACTTGTACTGCCAAGCGTGGTAGGCTAACAACTTTGTAATTTTTAGTTTTGATTAGTGCCTATTTTTTATATCATTCGAAACATTGTGCAATATCGGCATTTACAGGATATGCTATAAATGAGTCAGATGACGCTAGGTAGGTATTATTGAAAGAACTTTAAGCACTGAGTGCACCAAAATTGATTCGCCTGGGATCTTCGTAAACTGGGAATAGATACACAAAATGTTTTCTAGAATATTCATCCAAGAAATAAACTCGAAATCTGAAATTGAGAAATACAAATCTCTAACCCAAACCCAAACCACAGAGAAGTTAGTCCAAAAATACACAAATAATAAACCTAAATAGATCCTCCACATCAAATACAACCATAGATCTATGACGTCCTTCTCTGAAAAAGATAGCAGACGTTGTCAAACTCCTGAAACATCAGTCACCATCATTAGGCTCACTGAGCATGTNTCACCATCATTAGGCTTTCAAAATCGTTCGTTGCAAAATTCTGTAGTCTTTCTGTACTCTGTAGTATAATAAAATATTCAAAATGTGCGACAACTTGAAAGCTGACCGCATTCGGTGCGAGGCCTGCCGCACCATCAACCTGGCGAAGCAAATCCGCCAGCAGAAACCTGATATGCAGATCTATGACAAGTGCACTCCAGCAGCGAAGATCGACTGCTCACGGATACCTGGTAATACCTCCAGTCTTATACAACACATCAAACCCTGGAGAGAGAGTGAATAAATAAGCACTTAGGCCCAGAACAGACAGTGAAATGCAACTGCAACGAAACTGCAACTGCTAGTTACTTTTGAGTTGCATCTAAGTTTCTGCCATAGCGTCTGTTGAGAGACCACACACAACGCGACCAGTTTGAAACTTTCAGTTTCAGTTTCATTCATCAGAATCATCAGAAAGTTGCAGTTTCGTTGCAGTTGCGTTTCACCGTCTGTTCTGGGCCTTACAGGGCAGTTAAATGTGCCATCCTAGACAGCATCTCACTTAAAATCAGGTGCAATTGCGGTTATACCTGCCATTGTTCTGCATAAAATAAATAGAAAAATATCAAATAACACCAAGTATAGCCTTAAGAAACCACCAAGTTGGTGTGAACAGGACTAATCCTTGAAGAAATATTAAAGACTTGCAACTTTGTTATATTCACGATTCATTTTCAACCGAAAATCGACAATTCTGGCTAAATATCCTTTATCCAACGGCCTTATGTTTCCTACATCCACTAAGACTTAGGCCAATTTACTGTAATGGTAGAGTCAACTTGAATTTCTAGTAAATAGAAATCTCACTTTTCGTTTTACATCTGAAACCTCGTAATATTCTCGTAAGACCATCCGTTAAAATTAAGTTTCAACCTACTTCACACAAGTATTTAAAGCATTCACTCCTTAAGCTTAGTCAGCTTGTTGAAATTGCTTTATATCCAGCAACAGTTGTTTGCATTTGCGTCTGTCTGTTGTACCTAAATCAGAATGCAAGCAAATATACATTGGGGAGACTAATAAAAATAATCTAAAGTCTAAACCGAGGCATGTAACGCAAGAATTCAGCTCTACATTTTTTCTCAATATGTCTCGCTTGTTTGTCAATGTGTCTACTGAGATGGTAATAAATAATATATCTGCACTCAAATAACCCTCCTTTTGGTGCAATCGGGTAAAAATTACAGAATCTCAAATGAATATAATCATCTTTTTAAATCATTTTGGACATCTTTAAACTACCCCATCTCGTGCCTAACCAAGCAAACATTCGTTTTACCTATTTACTGAGTTTCTTTTTGAAGAACAGAAAAGCATTGGATTCACTACGAAAATGTTTTATAAAAACTGTATACTTTACATGTGTGTAATCAAGTCAAAAGTGACTTAACCCGTGTAGTTTGCACTATTAGGCCAGAGGCGAGTGGGAGATGGCCAGCCTGACTCATACAATCTCATACATGCATAAACGTATAAATGTTCATAATTTTATCTTGCATGCTATTTTCGAAGCATAGAATTGATAGCGTTGGACGAGCAAATGTTATTGAACCCAACTTTTTAACCGACCGATGCGCCTACGTACTTTTTTAATTTACATAACTTTGAATCTCTATGCGAATCCTCAATTTGCTCGCAGATTGAGGTACTGAAATCATCAATGATGCAATATCTTCGTTATAAGACGCGATAATTGCCAAATAATGGTTCTAGTTAAGCCAAAAACACCTTTTTCGAGCCTAAGAATAATTTAATAGGCGTAAATAATGTAGAGTTTTCAATTTTCGGTTATTTTGTGGCTAGAGCTAGCATGAGGTAAGCTTATCCTAGACAAATAAACAAGGCAACACCTTCCCACGTGCTTCCCTATATTGTAATTTGAAATTTTTACTTTTGTGTTATGTAAGTAGGTAACAAAGATTTTGATCTCAGGTAAATGCCTATGTATGTATAAGTAGCCGAATTTGTATTAAACGTCCAAGTGTTACAAAAGCAAACACCGTAACGTTACGAACTACATTCGTATTCTTGTAACCCCACACTAGCATGAATGAAGTGTTGTCTTCACTCCACGTTCATTACATTCCCGCCCCACACCACCGAGTAAGACAGAGAGCCGAATATAAGCTTACAGCCGTTACAGCCATGTCTGTCTCTTTCCCTTAAATGGTCTCCCCAGCGGCAACCCAAGCCACCTCCTGTGAAGCCCTGTAGTCCTGGTGCTTGTTACAAATTATGTAATATTCGCGGCTCACCGAATTTCACAAGGCGCTAGTGGGCGAGATGTAACCGTGGATTTCAAGATAAACTTGTAATTAATGAGCGAATAACTAATTGATTATGACTTAATAAGACTGCTTTTATTTAGGGACATGTTAAGTAAATATCAAAGAATTTGTGAATAAGCGATGCTCATTTGACACGTACCTACTCTATAATTCTAATCTCTAAACTCTGCTCTGCGACAAAACATTTCTAAAAGGATTTTTTGATAGATTTAAGAATAGCACAAGCAAGTTTTTATCTCGTGTAGCTTTTATCGACTCTGAATATGTTAACGATATTTTTATGTTAATTGTTTGTCAAAATATCCCTTTTTTTCGATGTTGTTTACGTAATTAGGTCACATAAATGTTTAGGGAAATTACATTAATTTGTTTTTTTACAGAAATGGCGATAAACCCAACATGCATCAAGGTATGCACTCGCGAAGAGTACAAACTGCGGAAAAGCGGGAAAAAACTAACAATGCCCAAAATGCCTTTGCCTTACGGGCATGGAAAACTAATGTACGCCGTCAAAGTAAGTGCACTAGTCACGTCTTATGCTCGCCTGGTACTAATTAAGTTCCGTTCATTCACTGCCAACATTTTGTTGCCCCGGTGAATGAAACAAACCTCCTCTAAGCTTCATCATTGTTAGTATCGATTGCGACGATTTGAATGTTTGTCATAAATACGTCTGCCTTCAGGCTGGCCTCCTGGTAGGCGCTGTTTACTTCACGTACACGCAGGGAGTGTGGGGCGACCAGCAAGACGTCACAGAGTGCATTCGCCGCTGGCAGGAATACCTTCGCAGCATCAACACTAGACGCCCGCCCACTTTCGACCAGCGCGGATGCGTTGTCGTAAGTACAATCAGTATATTTCATAATAGCACTTACGCCATTGTTTAGAGATACAAAAATTGCGTGACGCGAGTTGTCCGCGAGCCAAGCGATTTTACCTGTTGCTAGCTCATGCGGTCCTGATGAATGTGGTTACGTCATCGGTCGATCCGTCGCGCGCATCGCTAGTTTACCCGGCTGCTGTAACGGAGTTTTGTAGAGTCGCGAGGAATATCGACAAAAATAACATAATGCGTACCTAAAACCATATTTTATTAAATTAAATTTAAAAGAATTTTAAACGTTAAATTAAATTTAAAATAATTTAATAGAAAATTACAAATTATTTCAGAAACAGCTATACTCTTAGATAGGTATTATTACTTTACTTCTAGCTAGTAAAGGTAGACATAACATATTGCCGTAATTAATACGCGTACAGACAAAAGACAATCGCATACCTACTAATATATTGTTATCGATAAAATGTTATCAATAGATAAGACAAACAACCCAAAACCAATACTACTCTGTGCCAAAATGTGTGTGTGAGGGGAGCTCATTTCGACCGCGACCTTCGCGAATACTCGCGAATAGTCTCCTATTAACTCATACGCGCCTGGTAGAACGGAGGCTCTATCTTCAAACCGCGGGCCGTTCGTGTCGGCCCGCACTTTAGTTTGCGAAACGTCTGCTCTCTACGACATCTCCCCACACATTGTGTTCATTCTTGAAGTTGAAAAATATTCGCGAACTATACAGCTGCCTCTATTGTATGCGGCCCCGGTACAATGTATTCAGTGTTCGATAGACAAAACGGCGCTCTCGTCGCCTCGCCCTACATTTTCGAACTCAGGAATTCATGAATGCTCCGCGAACTTATCGTCGCCTGGTAGCTACACGTCGGCCACATACGAGGGACGCTGTTCCTTTCAGTCAAACTCTTTTATTCCATTCTTACACTATACGACTGAATGAATAAGGAAATGAAAGAGTTTGCGATGAATAGCTGTGGAATGTACTGGATTCTTTTAGTCTAGATCCCACACATTTCGGTTTTAAAATTGTACATGATTGAATTTTCTAACTAATAATACCATTATTGTTCTCTATCTAATACTATTTATACAGTTCAACTAATTTGGCTAAAGAAAGTAATTTCTAAATACAAAACTAGGGGTTACATCTAGATCCTACAACTGTACCTTTATACGTTTTGGTTGCAAAATAACTTAATTTAAAATTACGTGCTATTTTGAAAAATGCCAGCCATGCCAGATAAAACAATGTTTAGGTATTCGCTAAAAGCGTAAGGTTAAAGTTAAAGTCAGTTATCGTAACCGACGTGTTGTAAAACGGGAAGCTCTTCCTTTGATATCGTATGAATTGGGTCACACGATCCACAATGTTATGTTACAAGGATAAGCGTGACATGAAAAAATTTTGCTGTAACTGATATGCTGAACGTTTTCAGTTTCAGTTCAGTGGAGTAGTGAATATTTATACACTTACATATTATGTGGCATATTCTTACGTAATTATTACCTAATAATTAATAATGTTACGAGCACAAAATTACTTATTCTTGCCTTGGTAGAAAGCTTTCATCTGTATCAAGCAATCTCGTGGAAAATCTATATATATAAAAGAAAGTCGTGTTAGTTACTCCACTTATAACTCAAGAACGGCTGAACCGATTTAGCTGAAAATTATCAGGGAGGTAGTTTAGAGCCAGGAGAAGGACATAGGATACTTTTTATCCCGTACGAAATAAAAAAAAAGTCTGCTTATTTATTGCCAGTAAGGCGGAACAAAGTTCGCCGGGTCAACTAGTTAATAAATAAAAATACTGTTCTGCAACCTTTTTCTACAGTTTTCACCACTATTAGGTTATATTTAGTGACTTATGATTATACGTTTTTCATGAAATATTCGTAAAAAAAAATCGTCATACTTTTCAGGCAGGGCTACAATATACAAATTTTAAAAACAATTGAACAAAATTCACAATAATTTACTTTTATTTCAGAAAAAAGATAACAATGAAAGCCTCCTCGCTCCGTTATACATGCTGTACAAAGATATAGTGACTTCCTGTTTTTCGGGTAAGACATGTTGAATCAGCTATTTTTACTGAAATATTTTTTACTCTTAAATTGCCTATAACATTATTATTGATAGAGTTCAATTGTTCCTAATTAATTATATCTAAATGTATACTATTAATACACTTACCATCAGATGATCCGTGTACCTGTACCGTTTGCCTCCTGTTCCATAAATAGCTGATTTTGTGCAATTTTTATTTCGAAAAATTGTAAAGCGATCGTGACCTTTGACTCCAATAAATGTATATAGAGCAAAAGGCAAAGACAACATTTTTATAAATTACATTTATTTTTATGATACAATGTTTAATTCAGCGCCTGATTTCTTTTGAAGGTGTCGTGAAAGTCCCCCTGCTCGTGAAATGTGCCTACGTAGACTATTTGAAGGCGCTTGAGAGAAAAGAGGCCGAAGCTGCTCTAGAAAGGAAGATTAAGAAGAGAGGATAACTTTAAAAAACGCTTTTGATTAAAAAAAAATGTTGCTTGCCTAACCCACTATTGGAAGATTGAAAAAAAAACAGACGGACAAAATAACACAGGTATTTTTCAGGGCTGAAAATAGCCGAAAAATTATATATCTTTCTATTGAATTTGAAATGAAAGTTCATAATCGAATATTCAGAAAATTCATCTCATCACAATACTGGAAATGTAAATTTATCAACTCGTAGACATCTTCAACATCATTGCTATTAAACCGAATAATATTTTAAAAACTCTACATTTGATTTCAATATTAATTTTATTTTTTGTTTACGTAACTTAATGTAAAGTTCTTGGTCATGTTAAATTATATTTGTATTTAGACGTGATCAGTACAGAAATGTGAATTTATTTGCAATTGTATTAAATAACATTTAAATAATTGAGTGTTCTTCTCATTTAACTTTATTAATGGGAAGAAAACTATGAGCTAGCATGATGTTATTTAAAACAATATTTTTTATTTTATTTTTATATTGCGTATTTACGAAGTAAACCAAGGAACTGTGTGAAATATTTTATTGTTTATTTTTGTACAAATAAAATTATATTAAACTATAACATACTTTTCTCTTTCGTTTCTAAATAAAATTAAAATAAGGACGGAATAAAATACCTTACGTGTCAAACTTAAATTTCAGTAGGTAATAGCATTATGCACACATTAAATTACTATAAGCCTTATTTTGTACCTAGGTAAAAATATGTGAAAAGAGCACGTATCGAAATAATAATGTAGGGTAATTATTAAAATAACTTTGGATCGTTAAAATGTACCAATAACATTAGTCTTCAAAACGATGAAATCGTCTACCAGTCCCAGAATCCAGAAACTTAATTTATATTCGAAGATATTACTTTCAAATTTTAATTGTACATAAAAACTGGGGCTAGGACATTAATAAATTTATCTGGGTTTATAATCAGGGAGAAATCGGTCAGAATCTTTGCTGTCTCCGCCTCAGGTCGGTGACTTGGACGTCGAAGAAGGTCGGGTCTTCAGGCGAGCCTCCAGCCAGCATGCACTCCAGCTGTCTGATGTACAGGATCGCTATCCTGGAAGAAGCAGAATAACTAAAAAGTGGTTGGAAATAGTTTCCACATCAGAAAATGGACGTGACTTTAAAGTTGCTAAATGGAATAGAAAAATAACGAAGCCAGAGGGTTAAACTACTACTACATCTCTTCATCATCATCATCGGCTACTGAAGGTTATAGCTAATTATGAAACGCCACAGCGAAAACATTTTGGTCATCGATCCACCGGACCCTACCACTAACATTTATGACTAACCCACGTAAAAAAGACAGCTATTTTAATAGAGAACAGAGACCATACTCATCTCTCCTTTCCACCTCTGTTGTAAACTTCTAAATTTCTAATCTATAATGGCCACAAAAGTCCTATCCAATGAAAAACATTGAGTAAGTTGGGATAACTGTCTTGGAAGCTGCGCTGAATCTCATCATCATCAGGAGCTAGTGGCTAACTAATAGGACCTTTAAATCATATAAAATGAATGTAAGTACCTCAAGCACTCTATCTTGGAGTATTTCTTCTTGGAGGGCTTGGTCACCGGCAGCTTGGACCGCAACAGGTCGAATGCTCGGTTCATGTCGCGCATGCGCGTTCGCTCGCGATCACACGCAGTCTTCTTGTATTCTGTAACGGACAAGTCTCCTGAAAGGTCACCTAGTTAAAGGATACCCTTGAATTTGAACTTTAGATCCTATAACCAGATCAAGGAAAACAAAAAGGTGATAATCACTTTGCAGATATTCTTTGATTGCATGGGATATCTCTAGTTTTAGTTAAACGGCGTCGCCAGAAAATTTATCTATTTTTTCAGCTAGACACGTTACGGTTTTTCAGGCTAAGGCGAATTAAACCAGAGGCATATTATTAGTTTTACTCCGATTACCTACATTGGACTTTCCACCCTCTGATTTTCAACGATTGTTAAGGCACCGCGTAAACTTTTCTAGATTTTTTTTCAGGTAATCATTGACCTAAATCTAGTTACTACGTACCTCTTTCCAGCTGTAAAGCTCGCTCCTTCCAATTCATTATGGCGTCCTGGTTGTGGTCTTCGTTGCCGTACTTGGTGGTCTCCTGCGACTCGTGGGAGAAGTCCAGAGAGGACTCCGAGTTAGCGGTCTCTTGGACTACTGTCTCTCTAAATTCTTGCTCGTAATATCTGGGACCTGTAAGTAATTTTTTTTCGTGGTAAACATTCTCGATCGTGCGAAGTTTTCACTTTAAGCAGTTTTCATGCTGACTGCAACTTTCATGTAACTAGGATCCACAGCATGATCGATAAGGTAGTAAGTAAATAAATTTAGAGTCAGTCCCGGGAGAAACTTAAGTCTTAGGACACACCCCAAAAATGATACTGTTGTGTATCTGTCGGTATTTTATGGACTCTACTTTAGAGAATGTTCTCTAGACTCTACCTAGAGCTTAATTATAAGCTGATTAGCTGATACAGCTCCAGGCTCTTCCTATACCTATACCTATCTTTTACTACTTACCTAAATAAAATAAACCAGGTAGAGTTTATAATCAACTGTACGGACTCGGAACCATTTTCTTAAGACAGTTCAAATTGCAAAAAATAATCTTACCTTCATGAGGAGCATGATCCAACTCATGCGGCCTAAAGTACGTGACTCTCCTGGGCTCATAATCTTCTAGCACGTACGACCTGTGATGCGAAGTTGTCTTGTCGTACTTCTTATGGGAAAACGTCAGCTCCTCCTTCGGTTTGTCATCTTGCCGTCCTATTTCTAGAATCACTCTATCATCTGTCTCCCTCTTTTCTTCTTCCTCCCCCTCTTTCACGATTGTATAGTTCGCGATTAGAGGAATGGGCGCTTCGTCGTCATAAGTTTGGCTGTACATTTCTATAAAATTGACTAACTTTCGTTCCGTTTCAAGTCCTATTGTCTGTAAGACCCGTAATACTAAGAAGACACTCTAATAAGAACGATCCTACACTAAAGAATTGATTCACGTCCGTAATAAGTTTTTGCAATTCGACAAATCAGTCTATAATTTCGAATAGGAACGAAGGTATTCGTCTCTTCATAATACGGGCCTAAAACAATACCTACTTTTGCACCCACAACGAAGTTCGATTCGCAGTTAAAACTGTGGTTTCAATATCTTTAGGTATCTCCCACTAACACACTCACAAACACACATTTTTTAAATTAACTTTTCGACTGTTTATAATGAAGCAGGTATCTCAAGGTGTCTCTAACTTGTGTTACTCCAACCTGCCTCGCGTAAGGACTGTGTCATCCACTTCTGTGAGCCATTGTCATGCATATTGGATCAAAGTTGCGACTCTTTTGTGTATTCAAGTGTTTTCCTACAATTTTTAGTCCGTAAGGGGGCCGGGTATTGTCTCCGAACTATTGTTTTGTGGGTGTTTGTTTTGGTGTTATAATGTTGTCTCTTTTTAAATATCGTCTACAGTTTATCGGCCATTTATGTAGAACTAGCTTTCCGCCCGCGGCTTCGCCCGCGTGGAATTTTGTCTGTCACAGAAAAACTTTATCGCGCGCGTCCCTGTTTCAAAAACCGGGATAAAAACTATCCTATGTTCTTTCCCGGGACTCAAACTATCTCTATGCCAAATTTCATCAAAATCGGTTGCGAGGTTGAAGCGGGAAAGCGTAACAGACAGACAGACAGACAGAGTTACTTTCGCATTTATAATATTAGTTGGGATGAAATTAACGAAGAACTTTGTTACATCTCAAATTCCAATAAGTTGTTGCTTTCTAGTAGAGTGACTATCCATTTAATTAATCCAATAAGTTGTAGCCCTATAAATCAAATAGATAAACACAAAATGTTCATTTTCAACCAATGAAATATAAAACCAGTGTCCATAAAAACAATAAACAGGTAGTTACAGTTTGCCAATAAGAAAAGGAAAGGAATTTGACTTATTATAAAATTAATCGACAGTGAATCAACTTTGGTTTCACAGACCTGATAAAAAATATGTGGCAGATAAAGTCACCAGTAATAAGCTAACTTCTTCAAGTATTTTTAGCAAATGACTAAAGAAAACACAAAATAGAAATCAAATACCAGATTTAATTCTTACAGTAAATCATTAACAAATACTGTTTTTTATGCTTTCAGCACAGCCATTTAATTTCATCATAAATAAGGCCATAGTCTTTAAATACAGGTTTACAACATAGGCAATATATTAATAGCATTTGACAAGGAATTATCTGAGTGATTTGACAAGTTTTAGAACTACTATTTGAATACAACTGTACATACGTTTGTGAATTAACATACTTTTTTATTAAATAATGTAACAAAAATGCAGAACCAAAAGCAGCATATTACAGTTTAAGCAATTTCCAAGATCACATAAATAAATAAAAATATTTCTAACTATACCTACTCACATCTTAGATATAATATACATATAATACCCTCATACAACAATTACCAACATTTCTTTACTTTAAAAAATATTATTTTGCTGACAATTCTTAAGTAGACTGAGAAAAGAATAATGTAAAAGCTATTCCAGGAATATAAAAATACTTTGTCGGTATACAACCAAAAGTTATGGGACCCTAAATATAAGAAAATAGTTTATTTTGGACATTTTTGGTATTTCGAAACGTACACAGTAATTAAAATTGCTTTAGAACACAACATTTTGTATACAGTTTGGAAACGTTAAGCGACTAACCACGAATATCTTGTATAGTTTCTAATATTATGTGGTTTTACTAAATGTATGGATGCTGGAAACATTTAAGTTAATAGACAGTTTGACATAATTCGAAACCACAACTTTTTAAGACCCTTCATTCTGGTCTTAAAAACTTAATTAATTTTAAATTACCTGTAAATTACGATTTATTTTTCGCATTGTAATTGAAAAAAGTAGTTTAATTGAGTTGATAAAATAGTGACGTCACTTGCTTGTAGTACCATACAAAATATATGGGAGTTTCGTTTTGACAGTTTTAAAAAGTACGTCAATTGATTGGTGGTGTCAACATGTCTATTCTGTAACCTATTATTGGTACCGTTGGATAGAGCTAGTGAAGCACTTTCAGGATCAGTAACCAGCTTTTCGATAATCTTGTATAGTTTAGAAATAATCGAATGAGATCACTTATCGTTTCCACCCTGTATAAACTTATTTGCTTGTCACGGCATCTCATAATACATAATATCTCTTCTTACTTGACATTACACGGACCAATTTGCAAACATTTGTCTAGCTCATCTCAGATCCAGGATTCCTGTACAAGCGAAAGAGCGCTTAGCAAAATAAATATTTAATCTTAGTTTTTAATTTGAATTATCCCCGATCGGGCAGATAAAATTTATCGATTTGCGAATCATTCTGGTCTAATGTTATCTTGAGTAGGCGCACACCGTTGATTTTTCGTCGGCCGATAGTTTAGTCGGGCAGTTGATCAGTATGGGCATGTATGGGAGCGCGCACACTACGCCGATTCGATTTGGCCGATTCTTCATACAATTTAAAATCGGGCACAACTATCGGCCAACTAAAAATCAACAGTGTGCGCCTACTCTAAATTATAGCTAATGATAATGTTGTTCTGAATGTAAGTACGATTATTAAATAAAAATAAATAGAGATACAACAGAATTAATGTTACTTTACCTGTTATCTAATCATTCTGAAACATTTTAAATGCGAAAGTTCCTTTAAAAATTGGAATCATTTTAAAAATGCTTTGTTGACTGTATTTTAATTAAGTTTTTTCTCCTAACATTGCCATAAATGTATATTAATAACATTTAAAATGGATATAAATACTTCTCTTATTTATAAATATGCTGATGAGATACTGTACAAACATTAGACGTAAGCGCAACTGTGAAATTGAAAAATTTTAAACACCTAGCTAACTATAAAGAATAATAAATAAGAAATGTCTGTTTTTCGTGCATTCGTTTATAAAATATTTTGACATATCCACGCACTGAGAGATGTAACTATTACTAATGCATAGGAATTCAAATTTGCATACAAAATTAAACAAATCCTAAGGCTACGGTCTCCTATTAAACGCTATACGCGGCGTAAGTCAACGTCAAACGTTCCTATCGACGTCCATACGCCGACGTTGACGTCTGAAAAAGATCACAGAACATTTCTATAGTGACGCGGCCTATGACGTTTATAGAAGACCACAGCCTTACATATCCTTTTGAAGGTCAACAAATCCAAATTAAAATAAACTCTAACCGCATACGCCTAAAGCTCAATTTGCCGAATCTCGAAGTACCGCTGCATAACCTCGTCTGTTACGAGTGCGCGCCTCGCTTGGTACTCTTGGACGTAGGGTGAGATGGTATCTATTGCTATCTTCTTTAATTCCCCGGTTAACATCTCGCCGCTTTCGTAGGCCTTCTTTATCTGTGGAAGGAGAGATATAGGGTGTTTTATAAATAGACGATATTATACAAAAAAATTATGCACTCTACTGGTGAATTTCGATACAGAGAAGAAGTTTCTTGAAGAAGGACTAGACTACTTTTTGTAGCAATGAAAATGAAGAGAGGATGGTTATTTGGATCGATGGAAAGACAAGTATGTGATGTGTGGTGGTGTGGTGTACCATCGAAAGAAAACATACCAATGCATGCGTCCCATGCACTTAAGGCGTATCACGAATGTAAAAATCTATCCAGAAGCTATCACTAGGAATTCCTGGACATTTATGCATTTTCACAACACTGTCTTTTAGTGGGACATGTATGTGTGTGGACATGTAGACTTTTTGTGAGGTCAAAACGGACATAGTCGAGGAGAGAAGCTAGTAGTTGAAATAAACTTACCTCAGACAACCGCTCGTCGTCTTCCATGAAGAAGGTAAGGTATTTGAAGGAGATATCGATGCTAGTGTTGCCACCCTTTTGTCGATGTTCCTCTACCGTGGCCTGCCCGCCAGAGAACGCGTATTTGTTGATCTGTGGAAAGACGTTGAAGGATTATACGTCGTGTGCTACTTATAATAAAAATCGATAGACGATGATAGATAAATCGGAGACTAAAACCTTTGTATGTATACTCCCTAAATTGTCTCACAGGTTTTATATGGCAAAGGGAAGCTATGACATCACGTTTTCGGCACCTAACTTTTTGGTACTCTTAGCAGTGTGGTTCCGGCAGAGTATAATCCTATTCAAAACCATTCCCACCCTTCCCTTTAATGTCATAACGGACATAGGTTTCGAACTCCTCCTATGTTCTTCTGATTAATTTCGTTGCGGGTCCAATGACAGTTTAACTTTCCCCCGAGACAAACTTGACCTTCATTGGTTGGGTTTTTGTGACGGTCAAGTTGTAGATCCTGGCTACACAGGAGTTGCAGTGGTGGGAACGAGAGGAATAGTCCCGTATAACGGACATAGGTCTCCCCAAACCAATTCGCCTAATTTGTTTTAAACTCACCTTATTCTTCATCTGTTTGGGCGTGTCGTTCAAGAATATCGACGCGTTGGGATCGCTGGCCGACATCTTGTGCTGTGCGCCTTGTAAAGCCGCTAAGAAGGTGGAGTGTAGTAGCGCCGATTTAGACAACTACTACTTAGAGATGTCGATCAATAGCTAAACTATATCGATATAATTCCCTTACTTATCTTACCTTATTTTTTATCTGTTTGGGCGTGTCGTTCAAGAATATCGACGCGTTGGGGTCACTGGCCGACATCTTGTGCTGTGCGCCTTGTAACGCCGGCAGGAAGGTAGATTATAGTAGCGCCGGCTTAGGCAACTACTACTTAGAGATGTCGCTAAATAGCTTAACGATATCGATATAATTCCTTTACTTATCTTACCTTATTCTTAATCTGTTTGGGCGTGTCGTTCAAGAATATCGACGCGTTGGGATCGCTAGCCGACATCTTGTGTTGTGCGCCTTGTAAAGCCGGTAAGAAGGTGGAGTGTAGTAGCGCCGGTTTGGGAAGCTTGAGGCGCGGCGCGACATCGCGCGTCATACGAAAGTACGGGTCTTGGTCGATGGCGCATGGGATGAGGCAGGGGAACTGAGAAAAATTGATATGATTATTTAAAAAGAAATACTCGTAATTTCTCCATCAGGGGACGTCATTTGACTGAAACGAACTAGTAATTTTTATTGCACAAATTACTAATGTTAGAGCCCTCATCGAGACGATTCTAACGAGTCCAAACGCGACATAGGTGTTGTAAATCATCATCAATGGATTGGGTAGCAGATGCAGGTAACACAATATTGCATTATTATGAGGTTGAAACATGAACACCTAAACTATTCGAGCTACGGGAACTAGTTCAAAATTAAGTTGCAAGTAAACAAATAAGTATACAGTTCCACTTGAATAAAAGTTTATAAAAATAGAATCAGGTGCATAATCCTCTTTTTATATCTACTTAATTTAATACATCTAGTTTTTATTAACGTACCACTTTATTCCCGAATATAAAAGGGAAGGTAGTGGAGAATGCGGGAGCAGCCTCTATCGAAGGGAAGGTGATCTTGCCAATGACGTCACTCTCTCCGAACCCGAAGATACCCTTCGCCTGGTTGAAGGTCACGCACTTCTGGATGCGGACCATGTTTTGGTAGAACGCTGGGCATTTCCTGGAAAGTTATTGGAGTTTTTGTATGAACTTTGTCACCGCGATTTAACTTGGTACAACGCCATCTGTTGACACTCGAGCCTAACTAGCTGGATAATTACTGCAGCGAACCCTTCATTTGCACAAAACGTAGAGCTTACGCTTGAATTTCAACAGATGGCGTAGTACCGACCGAGTTGACTCGCGGTTGCTGAATTTATACAAAAACAACAGACGCGTTAATATTTATTTAATTTTATTAATTCATTTAGTATTCTATAAATAATCAGTAGATTGCGAAAAGTGAAAGAAATGTTAGTAAAGTAAGTCTTTCTTACCCAATAAAGTCTAGATCGTTAAAAATAAATGTGTTTTTCAGGTCAAATCCGACTGCAATGATGTCTTTTGCGTTGTTGTACGCCATCTGGCGGGCGTCTTCTATCTTGATGTCTTTCCACATCGCCTTCTCATCATCCGTGAGTTGGATGATGAGTGGCACTTCGAAAACTTCTTGCAGCCATCTGGGAATAAATTAAAACATACACCTAATTAAAATGTACAGATGACAGCACTTTCTTAGACTATAATTTTTCTTGCTTAATCACTCTTATCACATCTTATCACATATAGATATCAGATGCTACCATGTTTGCCTAAATATGGTGGTCTGTATATTTTAGAAAAATATTAACTAACAACTTGTTTAACATAGGGCCTTACACTAACACTGATATAACACTATTATAAACAGAATTTTGAAATGGAAAATATTACTACCTCATGTATACCTCACAATACATTAGTGAATAAATCATGTTTAAAAACCCTCTAAAATGCAAGCAGCACCAAATTATCAACACATCTTAAATTTTAAGTGACAAAATCCCATTAATCAGACCCTCAAAAAGATATATCAGAATCTGTAATAGGACAGATCATTTTTTTTTTTTAGACTTTAATTTTACTTATTACAGTACTTACTTTGTAAACATGAACGGGATCATGTGTCCGATGTGCATGCTCTCTGATGAAGGGCCTCTGCCAGTGTACAAGTAGAACTTCTTGCCCGACTCGTACAGGTTCAGGATCGTGTGGAAGTCTCGGTGAGAGAAGAATATGCCTCTCCTGAGGAAATGGTGGGCTAGAAATAATCATGAATTAGTTAATATTACCCTTTTCACAAAAAAAAACATTGCACAGCCTAATACATTTATTTAGGCAATAATGTAGCAACATATTCACAAGTATTAATAAAATTGTCATAATTGAGTCAATTTGAGTTTAAATTAAACAATTGATGACTGAATTATTACAGCTCTGAAATGAAGTTTTATCCAATTAGAATAAAGGATAATTTTATGTTTATGTACCTTTCTTTCCTGTAACTTTTTCAAAACGCTCAACCAACTCCTTGTCTATCTTTTGACTCCCAAATCTTTCTGTAAAAGAAATGTTAATGCTTTTAGTTATAGTATGTCCTTAAAGTCTATTATTGCTTATACTCATTGTATATTTAGAAAATTTTGAATACAGATTGAGTCACACGAGGACAAGAATGTTATTAAAGTACTTACTTATTAACTTGTCATAATCAATGCCTGTCTCTGACTTCCCCGCAACATTCCATGGGTCTACAATATCATCATCATCATTGATGGCTAGGTTATTAATTTGTTCCTCCGCCATTTCCTGAAAAAAAGGTGTTCCATGAAATCCTTAACATAAATTTGTTTACTTATTAAAAAGTCTTTAGGTATCCTTCTAATAACCAAAAATAGGTCTTTAAATTTTGATCTAAAGTTTCAGACTTTACAACCATGTTTTCCAACCAAAGCTGTATTTATGAACGACACACTATTGTTGATTCTACTCGGCTTTATAAATTTAAGTTTTTCTTATTAAACAATATTACTTTAAGCCTAAAATAATATAAATTCTTATAAACCAAGAGCTTTTACAGGTTAGGTTACATGTCCACGTAATACTAACCTTCCTTTAGCTTCTGCACAGGTGTCGTTGATAAGAAATTTCTAGCTTCAGCAATGTTCTTGCTTTTAATTTAGTTTTTACAGTAGCTGATGCAATTTTTTGCACAAAAATCGGATTAATCGATTCCAAACCATCCAACAAGCATTCACCTCGTGACAGTAATGACAGTGACATCAAGTGACATGTCATGGCAATCGAAAGAGATGTACGTTTATCGATTACAAATTTTGAATAAAGTTAATCGAAAAAATAACATAAAAAAACTATATTTATTTTTGCACAAACTGCACACTTCCCCTGAAAAAAAGTTTCGTTATACAGCTGCTTTATTTAAAATCTTGAATTACTTAAATATCTTTAGGATTTTGTTTATCATACAATACAAATAGTAGTAAAATTGGTGCCAAATAAACATTTTTTCTTTCTTTCTTTCTTACTTTCTTTCTAGTAAAAGTATTTTCTTATACATAAGCTTTCTTGCACAAAAACCCTTAGATAATGTGTTCGAATCGAATGTTCAAACTTATTCGAATAAAAAATAAAATGTATTAAGTAAGCAGAAAATAGGTAAATAAAAATGAGAGTTGAAGTCATTACACAAGCAAAGATTTATATTTGCTTAGTATACATAATACGCTTGCTACACTGATATATTTTGACTGATTTGTATGTTCTTTCAAATATTACATACTTCAACTTTTGCTGCGCGGCCAAAAAAGCGTCACAATATTTTTTTCTCGATTATCAGATAAGCTCATGGCTGTACATCCCTAGTAAGAATGTTGCCAACATTAATTTTTAAAAATCTATTACTTGCTTAGAGAAGTGAGACAAAAAATGCCTTTGTAAACATTGAGGCTGTTACAAAGCAAGAACTGAAACTAACTTACCTATTTTCTAAAAAAAACTTTAAATATCATATTATGACATTTAGTTTAACACTCGTTTCATAAAAAACAATGCTTTTCGCAGTGGCGGCGTAGCATAGGCTGGCACCCGGGGCGGCCCCCCCCCCGTCATCATAATATAAATTATAGCCTAAGGTACCCCAGAATGGCACCCCCCCTGTCATGTCATGACATCACGACCGTCCTTGTCATGCAGATGCGTCAGTGAGTACTAATCTGCGCGATTTTGTCACCCCCTGATGCTTGGCACCCGGGGCGGACCGCCCCCACCGCCCCCCCCTTACGCCGCTACTGGCTTTTCGCAGCTTTCCGTTATGATGTTATGTTGCTAGGAGTTTCTACCCAAATTAGAGAGTATTTCTACCAAAATGGTAGAAATATTTTAGTATGGGTGACCCATGGACGAAATGTCAAAAAATTGTCAATACGTTCGTAAATCACGGCACGGCACGGTTATCTTTTGCTGTGTTTTTAGAAATAGTCCGTAGGTAAACGCGCGTCTCTTTGTTTTTNACGAAGTCGCGGGCGGCCGCTAGTAGTAAGTATAAGATGCGGATTATTACACAGATTAAGATTTGATGATTAAGTCTCTTTGATAAACTGAAATACATCTTAATCGTAAATTCTGCGGCTAAAGGTCGTAGCAACAATACACGAGTTCATATAACCATTGTCAGTCAACTATGTATAGCGCTATAAAAATGTGAGAAAACCCACCACTGGAAAATCTAGCCCAGTTCTCTACATCTATGACTAATATTAATAAATGCGAAAGTAGCTCTGTTTGTCTTGCTTTCACGCCTAAACAACTGAAGCGATTTTGATTAAATTTCGCATAGAGATAGTTTGAGTCCCGGGAAAGGACATAGGACAGTTTTTATTCCGGTTTTTGAAACAGGAACGCGCGCGATAAAGTTTAGTGTTTCTGTGACAGACAAAATTCCATGCGGGCGAAGCCGCGGGCGGAAAGCTAGTTTTGAATAAAGTTAATCGAAAAAATAACAAAAAAAACTATATTTATTTTTGCACAAACTGCACACATCTCCTGAAAAAATGTTTCGTTATGCAGCTGCTTTATTTAAAATCTTGAATTACTTAAATATCTTTAGGATTTTGTTTATCATACAATACAAATAGTAGTAAAAGTATTTTTTTATACTTAAGCTTTCTTGCACAAAAACCCTTAGATAAATGTGTTCGAAACGAATGTTCAAACTTATTCGAATACAAAATAAAATGTATTAAGTAAGCAGAAAATAGGTAAATCAAAAATGAGAGTTGAAGTCATTACACAAACAAAGATTTATATTTGCTTAGTATACATAATACGCTACTTGCTACACTGATATATTTTGACTGATTTGTAATGTTCTTTCAAATATTACTTACTTACTTCAACTTTTGCTTCGCGGCCAAAAAAGCGTCACAATATTTTTTTCTCGATTAACAGATAAGCTCATGGCTGTACATCCCTAGTAAGAATGTTGCCAACATTAATTTTTAAAAATCTATTATTTGTCTAGAGAAGTTAGACAAAAAATGCCTTAGTAAAAATACAACTTATTTTCTAAAAAAAACTTTAAATATCATATTATGATGACATTTAAACACTCGTTTCATAAAAAGCATTGCTTTTCGCAGCTTTCCGTTATGATGTTGCTAGGAGTTTCTACCCAAATTAGAGAGTATTTCTACCAAAATGGTATAAATATTTTAGTATGGGTGACCCATGGACGAAATGTCAAAAAATTGTCAATACGTTCGTAAATCACGGCACGGTACGGTTATCTCTTGCTGTGTTTTTAGAAATAGTCCGTAGGTAAACGCGCGTCTCTTTGTTTTTAAGTGTGTGTATGGAGATTTATTGTTGAATTAGTCGGTGTGATAGTGTTCTTGATGGTTTCGGGTGACGATTCCAATGGTCGTTTATCTCGTAAAACTACGAGGTCTCCGAATCGAAGGTGTAAAAAGACAGATGCAGACCTAGCGAAGGGGTCAGCGTTGCGAAATGATTCGCAACCTTCGGTCCATAAGCGGAATCTTTACGTTGTTTCGTACCCTATCATTATTTTGTTTAATATACTGAGGTCTATTTTGTACCAGTTATTTATAATTTTTAAGTATTTGTATTCGGCGTCTAATCGGTTGATGCACAAGCCTCGTAAGAACGGCGAGTGTAACTTGGAAGTGGTGGTGAAGGACGGAGTGGTGTCGACGGAGATAGCGCACGGGGAGGAGATGTCTCACATACACAGCGTTGGTCCAGGAGACCCCCTTCTGGCTAAACAGAAGCATCACCATCGCAAGGCTTTTGAGTACATTTCAAAAGCGTTGAAGATTGATGAGGAGAATGAGGGTGAGGATGCTAGTATAATAGACAAATATTGTAAAAATTTTAACTCGTAAAGTCTTAGTACTCACTAAGCTTCGGTGGCAGCTTAGCTTGCATGAAGTTGTGTATTATATTTTTTTGTCATTGATATCTTTACTATTTTATTATACTATTGCTTTTTTCTTGGTGTTTCTCCATAGTTTTTCTTTATCATTTGTTTTATTATGTTAGAATTGATAAATTATAAAAAAAACTGAGAACACACCTTTACTTGGAATCTAATTGGATTTATTGTTTCATTGTTTATTTACTGTGTCAAGCTAATAGTTAATTCCAAGTTTTAATTAATAGCAATATTATTTTACTGCAGATTTACATAGCTATTATTATATCTTTGTCTAAAACTTATCAAATCAGTTCATATTTTAAATAACAAATAGATTTTCCAATATTCATAGTGTCATTTCTAAATAGAAAAATACTTTTCGTCGTTAGAAGTAGATCTAGCGTATTCTATCTCCCTACGCAGGTCAGAAAGAGTTAGCGATAGAGTTGTACAAGAAAGGTATATATGAGTTGGAGCGTGGCATCGCAGTAGACTGCTGGGGCGGTCGCGGGGACGCCTGGCAGCGAGCGCAACGGCTCCACGACAAGATGAAGACCAACCTTGGCATGGCAAAAGACCGACTACACTTCCTTGGTATGAATAAACTTTCCAAAATTGATACATCACTTCTATGTACTTAAATGTATAGTTATTGAAAGTGCTACAGCTTTATTTTTATTTTGAAAGTTATCTGTAAGTTTTTTTTGTCAGAGTTATGATGTAAAACTTTTTATTGAGTAACAATTTAGGCTTCTTAAATTATTCCACCCACAACACGCAATTAATGAGACTTGTCAAGTTTAAGCAGTATATCAAAAACTTTATAGTTACTTCACTCAATATTCATCATCACTAAAGTATGTTAAGGTAAACCTAAACATACAATTTTATCGTCATACAAAAACTAAGTTACGACGCGCGGCATTCTGTTCATACTCGTATTGTTATTATGTTCACAGGCTCGCGCTTTTCTGCATTTTAAATTTTTTGTATCATGTTCTATTTCGAATACGTTATATCCGTTTTTATATGGACGGACTACGCGACTACCCGCGATTCACGTATCTTACAGATGACTTTTAACCCAAAAGTGGCTGTTTGTCTTGCATGCCCAGCTTATTTATTATTATTTCGTAACTGTACACCCTTCGAATATCCTAACTCTAATCGAAGTTACTGTATCCTAATGTAGCGAACCTAGTCGCCCTCAGTAAGTTGGGCGTTGAGAGTGAGCCCGAGAGAAGCGGCAAAAAGCCCACGGAGTCACCTCTAAAGGTCCGCAGGCCACTCGAGAAGTCCAAGACAACGTTACTGGCACATACCGAAAGTAACAGTGGTCAAACGAAGTCGACGACTGAAGGTAGACAACTCTTGAACTTTGCTTAGCTTCGTTTGACGTAACCTACTGCAAAAGAATCAAAATTAACTAAAACCTCCCCGAGTGATTAACAGTTTTTTCAACACACACTTAACATTGGTTTTTGTATTGGTTCGAGTCGATGTTTGCATGTGGGTTCACTGTGCTTAGCACCGGTTTTGTTGGCTTATGTTACACGTACGATTTGGATTGCATAACAGTACCATTGATAGTTAGTGTACATCCTGCGTGCATGTCATTACAAGTGCATTCAGCGTCATATAGTTCGTGACGACACCCAAAGTAGCCAATAAGTTTGCAACACTTCTTGGTTACAATACAATAGGTTGTGTTGTCTTTTTGGCCATTTTAAGTGTGACTGTACTGTACATTAAAGCCTGTGTCTCGCAATATGATAGTCAGATCCAGACACAAAACTAGACAAAGAAAGGTAAAATCGATTTTCTCTGGCTTTGTTCGAGTCTGACTGTGTTAGAGGTCAAGTCTGGATAAACTTGTAAACATACCTATCAACGACCCGTATCAATAAACCGATCTTAATCTTTCGGTCACTGATAAATAGGTATCTTAGAAAAGAAAACATCCAAAGAAAAATGTACACAGAATATGCTCACAATTTTTGGCGCAGTGTCATGTTTAAAATTCATCTCAAATTATGAATACGGTTCTGAATTACTTTATTACGGCCTTCACATGACTGCCCATTTCTTGAGATAATCGTTTAGCTTAAATGGCGCTTGAAAATTATCTCTAAGTGTAAGTAAATAAGTGTTATTAACGACTCAATTTATTTCACTAAAGCGAAGCGAACATTGAAGGTATATAGTCTAGCCTACACCTTTCACTTTTGCGTTGAACACTGAAAAACGAGTAAAACCATACGACATACCTACTTACTACTCGACGATTAATTTTTAGAAAAGATCAATTTTACGCATAGGAAATTGGCCGTCCATTCCCCGTCACTCGCAATCGTTGTTGGTTTATGTTTGACATTATTGAATTAAACTTTTGCTTTCAACACTCGTCCGACAACATTTTATAGCCGGTTTCATTTACGTATCTTTCGAGCTATTGTTCTTCATTACAATAAACGTGATTTAAAGATAAAATCCGGTGCTCTATCAACAAGTTTTTGTTCTTCCTGGATTTTATCTGTAGTAATAAATCAAGTAGATTTACAGGTGCCATCTAATCTTAACAGCCAGTAGCCCTAAATTCGCTATATTTTAACAAGGCTGCCGCTATCTAGTTCCAAACTTAGCTAGTTACCTACCTATAGAATTACCGTGCTATAGAGTCCCAGATAAAGAACATAAATTAGTTGAAGAAACAGACAGATAATGTTCGTGCTTAAACCCAAATATTTGGATATCGAATACAGATACGCTGTGAGAGGGCTTAAAGTGATAATGTCCATTGTTGTCCATGCATTTAATGGAAATATTGGAATAGTGCGGATATCGACTATAAGGGCCCTCGCCCACGACGACTTTTTGACAGCATCGCTACTAACGCGCGTTAGTCGCATTTGCAACGCACTTCAGAAGTTATGCCAACGCGCTACAGCAGCGCGACTGCATCGCTACAAAAAGTCGCCGTGGGCGAGGGCCCTAAGTCTACTAAGATAAGCTGACCACTTCAATCCGGTAGTCAAATAAAGCAATCTTATGTCGACTCTACATAAAAAAATAAAGGGAACAATATACCACAAAGAAGATCGATTCATGTTACGTGTCGATGACTTGTCTAAGAGATCCTCGACAAGGTCCTTGAGACACATCGTTGACAGGCGCGAAATCGCTTAAGTGCTTGACATCCGCGCCAACAGTCCTCTAAGCAGTAAATCTATTGCGATAAAAATGGGCTCAAAAGTGATGGAACTGAGTCAGTACCNTGAATCAGTAATTCAGTATCCTCAAGGGCTCGTAATCCAGTTTTGCGAACACACATTTTATTGTATTTGAAATTCGAATTACACAAACCGGTTTATACAAAAACACGTACGCTACTATACGGGTTTCTGCAAAAAACGGCATGTCTCCGTGGAAACAAGCCCTTCATTGCTTCACTTTGCAATCAAAGCTAGATTGCTCAAATCACTAGACAATTTAATATTATAGTCAGATCGGTGCCAAATGCCAACGTTATTTGGTTTTATTTGTAAAAAAAATTGCCAGTTCCTCTTGGCTCTGACTGTATGTACAGTAGTATGGACCCTTCGCGATATCCAGAGGCAAATAAAGGGTTTGGCCTACACTCCTCCAGCGCTGGCCAGGCGTGGGATTGGGAGGCCTGATGATAATATTCACATAGTATCATCCTCAGTAGACTTTTACCTTTTCCACGGAAGATTGACTTGACTTATGGTCCTATGTCCCCTAGATGGGGCAGAGGGCGTCCAAAACAGTCCTCCATCTCGTTCGGTCTTGAGCTTCTCGCTTGATCTCGCTCCAGGAAGATTGAGGTTCTTACTTTATTTTCCTGGTTGGTTTAGGAATTTTGGGATCTTGAAAGAGCTTAATGTTCCTCCCATACACCTATATCTAATTATTCATAACCACCCAAATCCGAAACTGGGTCAATTGTCATCTCAATCACGTTCCGACTGCCGTCAATTACAGCGACACACTCGGCGGAGCGTGGTCGCACACCCACGCTGTACCCGAAGCACGAACATATCATTTTCGTTATGGTATGCTAATAACTTTGTGTGAAAAACAAAATAGCGCCGTTTAGGTTGTACAAGAAAAACGATTACTATAGAATTATGATAGTTTATCATGCTCAGGATACTCGTCTGTCGCGAGCGAGCCTAGCTCCCCAAGCGTTACGCTTCAGTACTCCACCGGCATGGTAATGGAACGCTGATTACGCTCCGATAGCCTAATACAACGGTTATTGATATACCTATCGATTGCTGAATGCTGTTGACTCGTTTAGGTATACATGAAATTAAACTGTTATATTGGAGTCTTCCAGCGATTTGGCGCCTAAACGGGTCCACGGGTCAAGTCGCTGGTTCAAATTTTTAAATATTTTTTCTTCCGGCAACTGGGCCCACTCTTAAGATTGTAGAGTAGAATTTTGTTTATTTATTAATATTCTTCTTGCTTGTCATTACATCAATCATACCCTAGCCTTTTATGTATTTGCAAGCGAATTTCCGTGATTTTAAGCGATTTTGTGAAAAATATTATTGGCAGGTAGTTGCTAATCTATATATATAAAAGAAAGTCGTGTTAGTTACTTCGCTTATAACTCAAGAACGGCTGAACCGATTTAGCTGAAAATTATCAGGGAGGTAGTTTAGAGCCAGGAGAAGGACATAGGATACTTTTTATCCCGTTATTTATTGCCATTAAGGCGGAACAAAGTTCGCCGGGTCAGCTAGTTGCTGATAAGATAGGCCCCCTTAATTGATATTTATTGTCCGTGGTGCATAATCTTTTCTTAAAGGTTTTAAACCTTTGTTTGTCACCGCTTTTTGTCATCCGCTTTGCAATGGAGGGAAGTCGAACCTTAATTTAGAACTCCTCCTATGTTCTTCTGATTAATTTCGTTGCGGGTCCAATGACAGTTTAACTTTCCCCCGGGACAAACTTGATCTTCATTGGTTGGGTTTTTATGGCGGTCAAGCTGTAGATCCTGGCTACATAGGAGTTGCAGTGGTGGGAACGAGAGGTGGGAATAGTCCCGTAGCCTTTTATGTGATATCTATGTTATTTATAATAGTAAGAGTAGTAAGTATTTAAGCACGCAGGCTGATTATTCCGCTCTCAGTCCCAAAATTGTAGCTACAATCCGGGTAAACCTCTGAATCCGACGCTTAGGTTAGCTTTCCACTAAATATACGCAAGAAAAAAAGTATTTCGATGTTACGTGTTATTTCGTTTTGTTTCTGAAGGGTTATGGTTTTGACTAAGACTGAAAATAAATCTACACCTAATCATTCTCTCTTTCGTGGAAAATGACCCTTAAAATTGAACACTATGTGTACAAGCTTTACCCTCCTCAAGTCCCAAAGCCCAACACCAAAGCCGCAGTTCCAAACTCTCGGTTAACTATATTGTTTGCATTATCGGATTAAAACTTAATACAACATTTTGAAACTGGATTGTTGTGAATGTCTACTGAATTCAGACAGCTCGTTCGGGTTAAATCCAAAAAGTTTTGTTGTTAAAATGTTAAACAGATGTTTGGCATCGTTGAAATGTGATTTTAATTTAACTTCCCATATTATGAAAGAGTTATTTTCATTGGCTTACCTCTAATCAGTCTGTAGATCATTATAAAGTTTAACACTTTGACATGTTAAGTATTTAGTGGCAATAAGTGAATATGTTGTTATAAATCTGTTGCTGAAAATGCACTTTCATTCCGTCTTTCTTTGAATTCCGTCCTCAGCTAAATTAGCTCTCCTGAATATGGCAATGACTGAAATATCCTTCAACAAACACCATCCAAACTCTAGACCTTAATCCCTTACAAAATCTCCCAATTTTAATCTAATTTAGAAAACCATTGGGCTGAAACTCGAGCCTGTTAAATATCACCTTCGTTTTTTCCAAAAACTGGACTTATTGATTTCAAATGACGTCACCCAGTGAATGATCCCTTGTTCTAATCCTGTAACACAACCCGGGGCAATTTGCTGCCCTTTCCCCTTGCGTGTTTTTCACGCTACATTCTAAACTGGTAACCAAATACAAGAGCTAGCGGGAGCGGAGGCGATAGTAATAACAAAATTAGAATAAAATATGAGTCCTCCTTGATGATACTACGAGTTTACCTATTGCTTTATTGCTCATGTCCTGTCCGAGGCTGCGCCTGCGTCGACTTGAGTTTGTTGTTTGTTGTTTTTTTCATAATTTTTCAGTTTTCTTACGGAGCTCGATTACGTTTTCTAAAATAAACGTTACTTCTTATAACAATATCATCTATCTAAAAGTGAGTCTCGTTGAATTCGACCCAGCCGTTTA